AGTAAAATTTCACCTGAAACCAAACCCAAACGCCTTCAAGTCGCAATTCTCAGCATCAATAAATGCGGATTATTGCAGTTTTTCCGATAATTTTGAATATTCCAGCTTCTTCTCAAATTTCTCTCTGACACATTACTTGCGGCGAACATTGAAACTTAAAAACATATTCATCAATTGAAATTAAATTATGCTTTCTTAAATTTTTTGGCAAACGAGGCTCCGAGATTTCACATTGCGCCTTGTTTAGCGAAGTCAGACGGTCTCGCAGCGACAGTCTTTGGCGAAACAGTGTTCCTCGCACGTTCCATCAAAACCTTCCACTTTCGTGCGTTTCGCCGATACAAATTGCTGAGTTGTTCCCTTTTCTTTTTTCCTCGGTCTCTTCTCTCTCGCCCGTGCAGATAGGGTGCGCTTGCAATACAAACTCGAGCATTTGAGACCCCGCAAATTCCGGGGAAAAAAATCGGGGAAAAAAACCGGGGAAAGTGGGCGGAGTCAGGGGCGGAGCCTAAATTGCAATGTCGCCGCACACTTTTTCCTCGATTTTTCAATGAATTAATTTTCGGTTAAAAATTGCATTTAGATTCCGTATTCAGAGTTTTTTGATGCTATAATGGTTTGCCTGTAATATCTAAATCCGATTTAATTCATTTAAAAAACAAAAAATTTATTATGTTCAAAAGAAAAGAAACATTTCAATGATGATCTTTTGGTAATGCCATGAATGGAAATAGTTTTTCGGAAAATGACTGGAAAGTCGGATGATTATATAGCACTGCTCTAAGGAAATGTTGATTTTTGAATAGAGGCGTTTCTTTAGAGTTTCTGTTGAGGACATTTCGGCACATGTTAGCATCGCGAACAAGAGAGGATGCCCACTCAATTGTTTTCCTAATGGGGTTATTCATGTNTCTTTTTTTGTNTTGAAATGCATTCCGTGCCCTCGAAATTCAATGCATGAGCGTCGCGAAATGTATTTCAAAGCATTTCGCGACATAACTGTAAATGCATTGAAATACATATTTGTCGCTACATGAATAACCCCATAATAGTCGTGCGTGTTTGCTGATATTCAATGTGATGAAATTGTCTCTGCAAAATTTTTTAACACCATACATTCATCTTGACTTACCTTATATGCTGAAAATACTTTTTCGGAATCGTTATTTGTGAAATTCATTCCATGTTCAACTCTGAAGCGGCGATTCCACAACTCAAAAGGAAATCGTGATGAAGGTTTGAAATAGTTTTTTTGTAGATAATTAAAAAATCCTGAAAATAATTTTCGTTGTTACATCTAATTCTTAAATTCACCTCCTAGATTAGAATGATATCCTGAGCATCTTCTTTTCAAAATATGAAACCAAGTATAAACCTTGTTTTCTGGAGCAAAACATAAGGTATAAAGTGATAATAGCATTCTGACCAGTGGAGCAGCGCGAGCATCTTTTCGACCAGCATCTATGAGAAAATAGTGTAAAATTAAAAAAATATATATGTCTCACATTTAATAAGTTTTCGAAGGAATGAGATTTTCAAATGTCTCCAACAACCTAATACTTTAGAATTCGGCCAGACGAGTTTAGCCGCATCAATCGCACCAATTTCAAAATCTGAATAGAATTTTTGATATGAAATTCTCAGTTTTTTGGGATACCACAATAAATAAACGATGGATTCAGTCCTTCCAGTAGCGCAGTATGAAAAATACGAACGTTAATATCTTTTTTCGACGATTGACATAAAGCAAACATTAGTGGAATCAAAACACCAGAATCTTCATCCTGTAAATAAAATGTTCCTAAAGTTTCTTGTTTTCAGTTTTACTTTGCTAGATAGACAATATAGCTACCTATATGAATTTGGCATTTCGGAATACTTTCCATCAATGTTGAGAGTTTTTGTATTGAAAAATTTCTCTGTGCCATCCACGATCCAAGCAATGACGATTTCATCATCGGAAGAAAATGTTCCCGAAGAATCCAACACCCTCCTGGCACCTTGGAAGTATTTCTGTGGGAGGGCTGGAGGAAACACTTCTGATGATCTTCTGTCTAACATAGAATCTAACTTCCTGCTCATTGACTCCTGTAAAAAAAAACTAATTCTGAGGATCTTTCGCTCGTGATTACATTTGAGGCCAGTAAATATGAGATGTCATATAACTCAGCTTCTCGTGTTGCTAATCTGTACAAATGTTCTTTCGGCGGGTCTGATGTTGCTTTTAGAATGGCTAATTTTCTTAGAATGAGAAGAAGCTGAATTGAAAATTTATTGTTTTTGAGTCTGTTTTGGAGTCTTCTCACAGCGATTCTTCGCGGACCATGATAGCACTTTTTATAAACCGAGACATGTCCACTGTTTCTAGCAATATGAATGGATCCAGAGCAAGTTGATTTTAGATCAATATTGAACGTGCACCTCAAGCAACAGTTTTAAAAAGAAGAAGAAGAAGCATATGTAACCTAGCATTGATTTTACCAGATTTCGTTTCTTCAGATGGACGATATAATTGGTTGTTGAACACAATCAACGGTGAACCCTTTTGGGATGTGAGACTAAAAATCAGAACTTTTTTAGAAAACTCGATTTTGCAGAATTTCTCTGAATTTTTAACCAATGCGTACCAAAAAAAAGAGCAATTTTCATCCAAAATTTCTGGTTCGACTGTCAGCTTTCGACGAGAACATCCTACTTTCTTTTTATACTTTTCCACAATTCTCTGAACCTCAGATCGTCTGAAAAAACAGGTATTTTTCACAGGTTCAGTATTTTATTGGCTTTACATATTAGTAAAGAAGAAGCCAGCAATCATATCATCAGAAATTCTATTCGGATGGCCGTCTGGAACAAGTTATATGTTTACAAATTCTCCATTAAGGATATTACATAAAAAAATTTTTTCGTCAGTTTCCTGAGACACATGATCCATCGCAAAATTATCTGAATCGTCATCGTCGTCGTCGTCTTCTGAATAATCCGGCAATTGAACGCTAGTATTGATGTTGCCGCTGACACCTGGTTAACTGAACTTTTAGAACAAAAGATTCCGGAAAATTTGAATACCGGAAGTTGTTGGCTCTGGCTCCGGTCTAGATAAAGTATTTTCAAAGTTTATCAAATTCTCATGGGATCTCATTTTATTAGAATCGAAATCATAAATTGGAGAAGATTGATTGGAGTGAGCAGATCAATAAACATAATTTGACCAGTGTTAGCACTGGTGTGAACAGTGTCTCCGTTGACTGCTTTCAAAGCTCGACGCCTTTCGTCAAATGTTGGAATTAAATATGTTTCACACAATAGACGTACTATATTCTTGCCTTTAAAATGTCTTTTAGACCCTTTCGGGTCATTTTCCCCGTTTAAAGGTGGGGGGACATGAGAAAAATAATGTTCTCGAAATTCCTTTTAAATATGCCCTGGAGGAGTTGAACATGTGGGGGCGAGGATTGAGGGTGCGGCGCCGCTACCGACTGAGCCACGCGGGCAAAGAGAAAGCGCACGCCCGATTGCATACATAAAGGCGAGGACGACAGCTGTACGCAGAGTGACATTAAGCGTTGTACACCGTGACGGTAGAATGCATACTCTAACTACAAAAAAAACTACGAAAAATCTCCTGTCCCCCAACCTTTAATTCCTCTTCATAACACTGTTCCGATTTTGACAAAAATTCAATTTTCTGTTTTTTATCCATTATTATTGATGAAATTTCAAAATGTTGTCAAGAACCTGAAATTTTTATTATTCTTACAACTATTCCATATCTCAATCGCTTCATTAATTCAATTAAACCCCTGAAATTGAATGCAATTTTAAACCGAAAATTAATTCATTGAAAAATCGAGGAAAAAGTGTGCGGCGACATTGTTTAGGCTCCGCCCCTGACTCCGCCCACTTTCCCCGGTTTTTCCCCGATTTTTTCCCCCGGAATTTGCGGGGTCTCGCGTACCTTCAAACGCAACTCTGAAGACGGCCAAACTCATGGAAAACAATAGGAATTATGCAGGAAACGTTCGAAAATTAGGTAGAAAAAAAAAATTGTAAACTGTTTTTAAAGGTGGGGGGACATGAAAAAAATAATGTTCTCGAAATTTCGTTTAAATATGCCTCTCGAGGAGTTGAACGTGTGGGACGAGGATTGAGGGTGCGGCGCCGCTACCGACTGAACTACACGGGCAAAGAGAAAGCGATCACCCGATTGCATACATAAAGGCGAGGACGACAGCTGTACGCAGAGTGACATTAAGCGTTGTACACCGTGACGGTAGAATGCATACTCTGGCCCCAAAAATCTCCCGTAAAATCTCCTGTCCCCCCACCTTTAACAAAAATCCGGAGAATTTTCATGTAGGATATCACGAGAGACTACTGAAGAGTACAGTATCGGATTTCGGGGCGAGGCTTCGTAAATCGAGACGAACGCTGTTCGCGAGATGCTCAGGTAGATTTTCATCAAACTTGACAAGAAAATTCAAATTTTAACTGAAAAAAAAACAAAAAAAAATTCTGAGAAAAAATTTCTCCTCGGACTACTGTAGTTCTCAATCTGTGCATTCTGCCGTGACGGTGTTTTGCGACCAATTCACCGACGAACTTCGGTCTTTTTTGTAATTTTCCAGGCGCAGAAAAATGCGTGGAAGCGGTGATTTGGGCCTGAGAACCTAGAATATGAATTGAAGTCTAAAAATCTAAATTTCAGTCGCAGCAAATGGCCTTTCTCTTTTCGCACGATGTGTTCGTTTCGAGTTGAATGAATTTTCGGAAATTTGATCGAGTAGCTAACTGTTTCGTCTTCAAAAAGCCACATTAAAAAAACCAAAAAATTCATTGAAAAATAAAAAAACAAATTAACAAAAATTGAACAAATAGTGCCAAGTGCTGACTTCATATTGAGCATCGAAAATGATTTGAAAGGGAACGTTTGAGGAAGGGACACATGGAATAATACATAGAAAAGGAAAATTTTGAATTCAACAACAGAAAAAGAAGCAGAGTTATTCATCCAAATTGACCCAGGTGTTGGTGATTACGAGCATCAGTCCGTCGAGTTTGCCTTGAACTGTTTTCAATGGAATCTGGAAATTTGAAAAAAAAAACCATTTTAGTTTTCTAAAAATGCCTCTCAAACCTTTTCTTCGCTTCCTTTAAGCTTCTCAATCTCTTCTTCGAGAAATTTCAGTGTATCAGCCATAAGAAATTCTCCCAAAGGTCGAATCAAAGATCTTGCGAGATGCTCGAATAATCGACACAATTTTATTGAAGTTCCAGTTGGATTTTGAAGTCGTCCACTCTTCAAGTTCTTCAGAACGATGTTGAACAATTGGTTGAAGTCTTGAATCGGAATTAACTGAAAAATAAAATTTTTATTTCGGACCGAAAATCCAGTCAAACCTGATCATTAGCCTTGAACAAACGTACAGCTCTCAACGCTTTCTCTTGGAAAGAGTCCTCCAAATTAATATTGAAAGCGAGCGTCTCAATTTGCTCTGCCAGTTTCCGAAGACTGATTTTTTCAAATACCAGAGGTCGCCTGAATTCAGGTAATTATATTTTTTCGAAGTTTTTTGAATTTGGCGCCAAAATGAGGGTGTTTCAATTGTAGCAATACAAGACGTTTCAGCCTAAGCCTATGAAAAATGTGGAAATTTTCTGATTTTCGCGAATTTCATTACTTTTTTTGACCGAAATTATTTTTAGAGAATTATGTTTTTTTTTAATTCTAGGCTTAGTTAGGGGCGAAATTCAAAAAAAAAAAAGACTTACATTTCCGCTTCTTCGTCCAGAATAATTACTTCTGGAGCTTGCTGAATCTCTTCCACAAAATCTTCGATTTTCACTCGATTTCGGGTATTCTGACCAAAATTCTGTGCTTCATTGTTATCATGAGCTATGCTTCCATTTATTAGATCCACGCCTTCTTCTGATTTCAAGTTTTGAATGGAATTCTGTGCTGGATTATTACCCTGAATACCGGCTTGAGCATCTGGTTTTTGAACATTTAAATCGTGGTTCCCTGCCGGTCTTAAGTCATCAAATTCTACTGGAATTTAATCTGGCGCTGCTTCCTCTTCTTCGTTTCCCATTTCCACGTCATCTACCTCGGGTGGATTCGGAAAAATTTGTGGAATCGGAGCAAGTTTCGGTTTCCGGACATTTTGAGATCTTCTTGCTGGTTTCACGACCGTTTTCTTTCTATAATCAGTTTTCGTTACGGTAAGAAGAATTGAGAATTTAAAAAGAAAAAATAAGCTTTGCATCACTAAAGGTAAACTTTATCAGCAAGATGTTTAATTAAGGGAAATTTTTTAATGTGAAGTTTTCAGAAGTTTTTAAAGGGGGACTCCGACCAAAAGTTTTTATTGCATTAAAATGTGTTAAAATTTATCTCCGAATATTATTGCGAAAAAATTCAAAGAAAATCCGAAATCTCCGAAAAACGGCGTTGAAAAGGAAGAAAATTCAAAAAAAGGTGCCGCCGGGGGACGAGGATTTTCAGTGAGAAACCTAGGCCACGGCAGCGGGCGCCTTTCCT